TGTTTTATTTAACATACGGCCTATAGCTCAAAAATAAATTATTAAATATTGTTCTGAAAACACCAAGTTCTTTAAAAATCGCGATAAAACGAATTACTAAAATGGAGTATTTTAGATACTATTTCCCAACGAATAGTACTATAAAAATTATGATCGGCAGCACTGAAAATAGGCATGCCGATCTTGTCAAAATCACAACAAACACGTCGCTACTGACAACACCTTGTTATTATTCCACCATGGATTCAAGGTTTATAAATTTTTTTTTCTTAAAGAAATATTTTATATTTTGACATTTCAATATTTTGTGTTTGCGGTAGAATTTCAACGAATTTCTTTCGGGGTTACTGCCTCTATGGTACTACGGCCGGTGCCCAGTACTAATCATTCCTTTACCGAGATTATCTTATCTAGCTTCGCTTTTTAAGCTTTCTTAACCTATACATGACTCGACAGCTCTTCCTCACTCCTTCCTTGTGAAACGAAATATTCCTTCTAGATGGGAAGTTTGAATGATCTTCTAGGGTCCTTTCAGAATCAGCAAGTATTTTCTAGATTTAAGTTTTTGGCATACGCGAGGCTTGCACAACAGTTTTGACCGCAGAATGATTGCTGAAAAACATTGCTATTTTCCCGCCAGTCTTAGGGTTCTTAGCTCTATCGCCATTACTTCTAGTCTAATAGGGAGATCGTTACAGCACTCATTGTGCATCCCTTAAAAAAATTTTCTTCTCACGCCTATCTAATGGAAATGAGTCAAATAAACCTACTGATTTTTTTTTTTTAATTTCTGAACTCCATGGGTTTGGTCTAGGTTAGGTTGAAGCGGTTGTCTTCATCCAACATAGGAGAGAGGCACACTTAGACTTTGTGATACCAATTGAGAGCTCGAATTCGAACCCGTCCGTTCACCTAGAAGTCCATCCGGTTGGTTAGGTTCAGAAAGTGGAAGAATTCGTGAATGTCTGTTTCACTTAAGTCGGCCAGACAGACAACAAGGTGGTGATGAAATGAGTGCCCTCTCACGAGAGGGCAGTGACAGTGGTAGGGTTCCACACGGTATGAACTTCCGAAAAATAAACCATGAAGAGTATCGGATCGTGAACGGTCCCGAAAAAATGCCGAACAAATATATGTATATTGAAAAGGCAAAAAAAACTTATGCATTTCATTTAAAAATCAAAGCACAAAAGAATTCAAGAATTACTGGTTATTCTCTGCTCAAAAACATCGGGCAAATTTTGCCTTTTATTTTTTATTCTACAAAGAGAGAAGATTCTAATGGCAACTTCGAAAAATTTTGTCGCTATATACAGTGGGAAGCACAAATGAGTACACGGTGTTTTTTTTGAATATTTGCAAGGTTTTTAAAGCAAAATTTTTTTTTTTTCTTCATATAAATATGGCTCAGAATTTTTTGAGTATGCAGCTTGGCAGCCCATTAAATTTTAGTATAATAAAGTGCAAGTTTTAAGCGGTTGAAAAGTCCCGTTGATTTTTAATATTTTATTTCGGGGATAGATTTTGCGGGTTTTTTCATATAACAAGTGAAATTTATAAAAACTGGCGTTGATTTTTTTGAATTTTCTTTCAAATGGTTTTGTGCGTTTTCTTCCATATGAATTTCATGCCTGTATGGAAAAATGTGCGAAAAACCGTCAGCAAAAAAAAAAAATATTAAAAATGAGCGGGATATAGTAAAATTTATTGGGCTACCAAACTGCATAATAAATAAAAGAAATATATTTAACATACAAAAAAAAAACATTAAAAAGTTGAAATTTTATTGAAAAATTTGTTTGACTTTTGTGGCTCTGTATAAAGTTTGAAAGCTTAGTTTCTACGGTTTGGGCTAAAGCATGACCATATTTTTATGAAAAAATAACAAAAAAGGTAAACAAATTATTTTACAAAAATCACCGTGCTGTATTCATTTCTGCTCCCTACTGTATTTCTGACTTCTAAGTTTGGAAAAAAATTCCTAATGACTACCTCAAAAATTATACAAATCAGATTCACTGCAGCTCTACATTTACATACATTTCCTTGTGAAAATGGGGTAAACATTAAAATTTTCGCATTTTAGACTGAAATTAAATCTTGTAAAGGGTTTTAATGAAAAAAAGAAACCCTATAAAAGGACCTCTATGTTCATAAAAACCTCTACTCACAACGTAAAAATCTTATTCCACGTCGGCGTTAGCGTCTTGTATTCCGTTTGCGTCTGCAAACGCGCATTTCCCAACTCGAGCACGCAAAATGGATCCGATTTACCGCCAATATCGGCAGCAGCCAAACCAGTCGCACCGAACACCTTCACCGTCAAATGACCGACATCACGTAAATTCTGAAAACAACGATGCCAACGATAACGATCGCGCATAATTTTCACCTCACGCGGATCCTCCTTGTACGCCTTGAGATCGGTAATGGTTTCGAGAGCGGTGGTGCCACTTATGGTCAACATAAGCAACACTTCACCAGAACAGTCTTCGAAGGCACGCCAAATGCCGTGCGTGGTTTCACGCTGGAATACACTCAAATCGATGTTCGCTTTGCCGTAGAGCGCATTGCGATTCCACAGTGAGAGCTCAAGATTTTGATCCTCATCGAAGAGATGCAAATCGAATTGCTCCAGCCAACGTTCGGTCCAGGAAGACTTGCTTTTGTACTTCTCATTGCCGAGTCTTGAGTGAAGTTAAGCAAGGGTGAGATGCGAAGAAAGAGACGAAGAAATATTAATCAAATGGTTAATTACAGCGGTGATCTAATTTTATTTATTTTTGTTTAGCTACAACCAATAATTGGGTGCATAGCAATTTATTATTGCTTACTCACCTAAATTTAATATGTATATCGGTGAGTTTGCTGCCATCGTCGGCCAATGGCAGATCTTTGGCTTTGACCAACAATATCGTGACGACCGAGCTCCAGATCTGTGACTTCAAACGCTTCGATGACTCTGCCAATTTGGTGTTACGCTGGAAGTGCTGCAAATGAAGGAGGAGGAGTTGCAAAATTTTTTTCAATTCAACGATTTGAAGAGATGGTACGGTTTGTTGTGAAAAAATGTGCACGTAACCGAAAATAATTAATCTTTTTTTTTTATTTTATTTAACAAAGTTCGACAAGGCAGCAAGGTCACCAGTCAGAGTTTTGTCAACAGCTGACGAAAAAAAGCAGCGTTTAAACAATGTACGCCAAAAGCTGTCAGCGCGACCGACAAACCAACTAACTAACTAACCGACTGTCAGCTATCTAACACCACAACCACCCTCTCTTTTTCGGTCCCTCGCATACCTCCATTAGCTCGCCAAACTCAGTTTGTAGCCGTTGCCGCACAACGGATCGTTTGCGGCGAAGCCGTTGCATCAACATCTCCGGCCTGCATTTAACCAGGGGCTTGCTGTTGCCGCCACCAATTCGTTGACTGTTGCTTCTTTTCAGCTTGTCTGCTGGCCAAAATGCATTGTCTTTAGTGATTTTTATGCTATTCGTGCTACAATAAAAAGTTACGCTATTTTCCGCGTTACTTTGGCCGTTGCCGTCACTACTACTACTGGCCGTTTCATTGCTCGCCATGACAGAACAACAACAAAATTAAGTTTTAATACAAAAAACCATTAACAATTCTGCTGAATAGAAATGTTGCAAATAGCGACTCAGCTTTGTTATGAAAAATTTAAAATTCGATCAGCACAATTTTCACGTTTTCATTTAATTTAATTTTTTTCTCTAACAAATGTTTTTAATTTGCAGCGCGTCACAACTAACTAGTACCGACGTCTGAATGCTTTCGCGCAAAACTAATTTCAAGTAGAACTCATTTGCTCGCTTAGTCAGTCGCTGAGCCGGTGTAGATAGAGTTTTGTCTTGCATCGGTGGCTAATTCATGTTATGGCGATAATACGTACAGTGCAATTACCATGTGTACATACCCTGCAGGAAAATTAAAAACGGTCCCAAACTGGTTTGTAAAAATTCGGTCAGATATATAAATTAAATAGGTACTTGTGTAACTTCAAAGACGCTTGATTCAACATAAATTATTGCCAATGCAAAATTTTACTTTCGAAGAACGTGAAGGTGGAACAAACCTAGTTTTCAAAAGTAAGGTAGAATTCTTAGGAGCAATACCCGACTGCAAACTGGTCTGGAATAACAACACAGCGGAATGCACACAGAAAGCAAAGGTATTTTTCATTTGAAAAAAAAACCTGTTAATTTGTAAATCATGGGGACTATCTGAGCAACCTGAAAAGAACTCAAAGAACCGCATAATTGTGCATATGTGGGGTCATTTACTCCACGCCTTCATCCACCCTAAATGAGATCTTCCATCAACCCAAAGCTGATGGTTGTTGTTATAGCATTCGAAAAAATGGCACATGAAACGAGGTAACCTGAGGCCTTTCAGATAGCCTAGCCCTTCAGGCGATAGTCTCTTCACTTTTCAGTACCGTATATTATGTACGCTCTATCACTTTGTATGAGAAATCTAAGTGAAATAACCCAAATTTAGATACAGAAATATAACTATCTACTTGTGGATCGTCAGATTCAATGCAATTACTACAAAAATGGTTATTATAGTAGTTTTTTAGTTGGTGTATTTGGCGTAGATCTCTGAATACGACGACACAGCTGTATAGAATTCAGCTCATATGGGAAACTGCTTGGAAAAAAAAAATTTTCCAAGGTCTTGTAGAGATATCACGGATGGAACAAAAGCTTTGACAAAATCCATAACGTCAACAATGGCGTGTGACGTGAGGTTTTTAAGTTTGAAAGGGCCTATAGAAAATAAAAAATGATATTCTTAAATATTTTAGTAGGAAAACGTGTCCACTTATTTAGATCAGTGACGATCAGTGAAAGCTTTTACTCTTCTTGTCTATAAAAAACCAAGGTTTTAAAAGCCTTCTATTGATTTTATATTTGGGATGAGCACCGTCTTGCCCGCGGGCAAAGCTCTTTTATGGTTTATTTTTTAATATTTTGTACAGTCGCGTGATGAATAAAAGCAAATACCTCGCATAATTACTAATTTAATTAGTTTTTGTGTCTAAATCTCATTATTTAATTCACATATTTCTTGCCAGTTACCAAAGGGATTGCCAAAAGAAACATTTACCCGAGTTGAGCGTTCTTTTGTCGCGCGATTACAAAAGAATACACCTACTGTAGATTTTAATCTACGCGTGGGTTTAATTTTTGCAGTAATTTGCGTCTGTGTTTACTATATTCAAGAAATATTGTTGTTGCATTGGAGTAAACGGCGAACTGCTCAGGTAGAGCGAACAAAACAGAGGGACGTTCAGTTTTACACTGACTTCGAAAGATAGAATATAAATTTATAAGAGTTTTATGGCAGAAATTCACTATTTGCTCTTATATACTTATGTATTTATCATTTATATCTTTCATTCAGCGCTTGTGTTGCTAAACTTAGTTTATTCACCAACTCAATTTTCCTACAGGGCTTTAGCACTCAATTGCACATACACATATGTATATGTACATTGTAGGTATGCAGAAATTCATATGTGAGTATGTTAATGGAAAACAATAACAAAGGGAGTTGTAACAATTAGGCGCTCATACAGTGGAAGTGACGAATCATGCTTTGGGTTTTTTTTATTCCATATTCCCACACGTGCACACACACCTTTCAAGTCTTCCAATAAAACTGAACAGTCATACAAAAGAGCATAAATTTACGCCAAATATTACTAAAGTGTAACCTTTACCCCGGATTTCTCCCCCTCTTAATGGCTAATTGTGCTCACCGAAACTTTTTTGCTTGAAAATAAAAGTGAGGTTTAAACTATGGCGAGTTTTAGGCCAAAAAGACTTTACAACAGCTTCTAGTAGCAGTGATGGTGTATAAAGAATTTAAGGGAATTTACATACTATGTGATTCACTCAGTTCTCATATCGCTAGGTTAGAGTGCAAAGTTGCTAAGTGCAATCGTTTTTAATTTAGAGGAGAGGAAAAGGACTTCTTATAGCAATTTCCCTCAAGTATTTGAATACAAAATTTTGTGTGTTTAAAGCAAAGCCAAGCTACGTACGAATAAGAAGCATTTGATCCTTATTAAAAGATTTCGTTTTATTGTGGTTTTGTCGGATTTTCGGTTCCCCTTTTGGACATAGCAAATTTGACTTTTAGTGAATAAAGGCGAGAAAATATAAAACAAGTAGATTAATCCTTTTGGTAGCGGTGAATTTTTAATATCCCCTGCTTCCTATATCAAAATATCAGTTTTCATAAAAAGTGGACCTAGCAACTTTTTACTCTAAGCCAGCGATATGTAGTCCAAAAATTTTGTTTACAAAAATTTAGTCCTATAGTGTCCTACACTTAAAAAAAATAGAATCCTTAAATATAAACAAGTTTTTTATGTAAAGCAGTTTTAGTAAAAAAAAATATGCTTTTACTTAAGCACTTTTATTATGCCGCGCCAATTTAGCACTACTTGAATACGCACATGTCGTCATCGGAACACAACGTATAATAAATACACACGCGCCCATTCAGTGAAACTTTATTTTTTGCTTTCTACTGAATGCTAAAGCTCGCCGCTTGCCGTTCGTAGTGTAGTGACAATTTTATGGTTGTTATAACAAAATTCGCTAGCTTAGAGTGAAAAGCTGCGAAGTCCCATTTTTTAAATTTTACAGGAGAGGAAAAAAAATCTGTTATAGCCAGTTTTGAACACAACATTTTGCCTGTTCAAAGCAATGCTAAACTTCATACGAATCAGACGGATTCAATATTTATTAAACGATTTCGTACTATTTGGCCTTATTGGATTATCGGTTGTTATTTTGGACTTAACAAATTTTTCTTTCAATGAATGAAAAGGAGAATAAGTAATGAAACAAATACCTTTATCTTTTTCGAAACAATGCATTTTAAATATCTCTAGCCTCTTGTATTAAAATATGAGTTTTAATAAAAAATGGACTTAGCAACTTTTCACTCTAGGCCTGAATTTATTTATTTTATTTTTTTACTTTTGTCGATACAATGTTTAATAATTTAAAACACACGTATTGGTTTATATGTGTGTAATTAAGTATATATATAGGTATACATATGTATGTATGAACGCGCGTATCTTTTCCACCTGTAGCTTAACTTATTGCATACATTTTTGGTTTGACCCCAAATATTGAGCCATACCATTTACAGGCAAATATTTATTTTTATGGTTTGTTTATATTTATTTTTCAATCTAAGTAAATTTGTAGTTGGAAATTTGTTTGTATACAATATTACATTTTTGCTGTGCTATGGGTAATTATCGCTTAGTGTTATCGCATACACCATCCGTATGGATATAACCTAAAATTAGTACAAATGAAACACGACCAGAAAGCACATTTGTTTTACTATATTTAATAGCATTTTGAAATACCTAAACATTAGAAAATATGTACACTAGGGCGGGTAAATTTTTATGGGAGATTTTTTCGACTCTACCCCAGACGTATTCAAAAATAAGAATGTACTTCCAGGGTTAGCAACAATCGTTCACCAACGCAACTAAGACCTGCTTTTAAAAAAGGACACCACGGCCAGTGTTGCCGTTGAGAAATTTCAGAAAGTCGCAAGTCGGGAAGTCGTTGCAAACATACACATAAATCTAGTTGCTGCAAGGAGAAGAGTTGCATTTCCTTTAGAAGTTGTAAGTGATGCATTTTTTCGTACTTACAGGAGAAAATATTTTCTAATAGCATGGTTCTGTTAACATTTCCTAAAAAATCTCTGAAAGGGGACAAAAGTCGAATATAATTTTGGAAAAGGGTCAAAAAATCAAAATTTTCAAAAAGTCGGGACAAAGGGTATTGACGCTTAAAAAGGATAAAATTGCCCTTTTAGTCGCACAACGGCATCGCTGACCACGGCCTACCTAATACTCAATCATCGACGAAAATCACATTACCTAAGTTAAATGAACATAAATCAAGGACCAAAGCTCGAACAATACAACGGAAA